TCATCCGTCAGAATTCGTGGCACCCACTTGGAGGACACTTTCCGCATTCACAGGTCTTCATGCAGGATTGTGTGCACAGATCCCACGGAAATGCCAACTTTGGAGGCGATGTTTTCCACACTCAATCGGCGATCCTCCAAAACAACTTTCTCAACTCGCTCGACCATATTTTCAGACCGGTTGGTGCGAGGCCGAGATTGTTTTGGTTCGTTGTCACACGACGTTCGGCCTTCTTTGAACTGTCACACCCACGAACGCACATTTTTCACATTCATGACACCATCACCACATGTCTCACTCAACTGGCGATGAATTTCAATGTGTGTCGCACCACGCAAGTGGAGAAAACGAATGATTACTCGCTGTTCTTGTAACGAAAACGTTGCCATCTTAAGTATCAAAAACACTTCTCATTCTCGCCACTACCACTAGAGTTCTGTGTGCCGTAGAGTGCTGCCATCTCTGTCATGCATTCACAAAGAGTGCACACATATTTTAAACTAAACCGCATATGTCTATCTGCTCCCAGTCCTGAGAAAAAAAATCGGAGACCTTAGAACTTGAACGCCCCTCGTATGAGGGAGAGTCAGTAAATAGGCCACAAATGTATATAAAACCTAAAACATGTGATATTTGAAGCTGGAAGAAACATTTATTTCTTGACATATCCTCCACCAACATTGATACACTTGTCCCATCACTTTACCAGCCCATCGAAACCTGCAACATAAACGTCTTTTGACTGTTGTTTCAGCCACTTCCTTGCCTGGTCTGGTATCATCTGCATCTTTTGAACATCTTGAGAGAATTTCTTGACACAGTTGTCGACTGCTTTACATGACACACTTCCAACCATAAACAGGAAACATGTTTTTATGAATCTCCTTTGCATTGAGTCCTTTTGCACACAAAAATATGCACAACAGAATGATGCTCTTCAGTAGCGTACTTCTCAAGCGCGGTCATCATTTTGACTAGTGAAACCAGCCTCTGAACATGCGCCTGCACCTCTCCTAGCTGGACTGTGCTGCTACCTAGTGATACACTTAGAAAACCTGTTACGTCCATTACAGTTGTTTTATCACCATTTGTGACCTATTTACTTACTCCGTCATATGTATCTTGGTCTTAACATAGTTTTTGTACCTCTATTGTTGTTAGTAGTTACTATAGGATTCTGACGATGGTGTATAACACACTGATATATTGGGTTTCTGGACTTTATCCATCATCCTGGTTTTTAAGATAACAAATAAAAACACGACGTTTCGGAAACTGGATCTGTTTCCGTCCTCAGGTGAAGGAAAAAGGGAAACACCTATTCTGTTGGGTCCGTTAGAAAGAGCTAGCCTCAATCACTGGATCCAGTTTCCGAAACGTCGTGTTTTTATTTGTTATCTTAAAAACCAGGACGATGGATAAAGTCCAGAAACCCAGTATATCAGCAGTGCCTATTGTTGTTACTCTCACAAGAAATCATAGGTACAGTCTCTAGACTACCATAATAAGATTGCCTCTCTCCCATCCACTGATTGTCATATTCCAAAAGCCTAACCTTTTCAAAATGGAACCAAAGGCCTAAAATTTTGTACTTTTTGGATACAAATTCTAAGGTTAGGCATTGGGTCTTTTTTTTGCCAATAAATTTCTAAAGTTAGCAGCACTGAGGTGGTGAACAACACAGTAAAATGAACTTGACCCTGAGCTTAATTAATTAAGCACCATGCCATGAAGGCATATTGGTGAGTGCAGGAATAGCTTTACTATTCTTGACTCTTGACCTTGGCACTAGATGACAGTGAGTGGTTGGGTTCACATCCCAGCCTCTTTGCCCATTAGATACCCATTCATGAACTCCAGAAGTGGTCTAGGCCTATGTACACAGTCTCGCTGTAATTATTCACAACCAGATGAATCTCTTTGCACTTACTTTGATTTGCTATCACTTAGATAAATGTGGACATAATTACTCTTCTAAAGGAGAACAGCAGTCTACAAGTAAAACATGATAGTAAATTTTGAAATTATGTGGGACCTGAGAGAAGATCCAAGTACCTGTGTTGCTGTTGAAGACACATTTTTAAGCAATTTCAGCATGTATGGTGGTGACCACCATTACAGTGCATATCTGCATCATGCTGTCACCCCAAAACAAAATCCATATTAGGAATGGAATGTGACAGTCATTGGAGAAGGAAGGGGAGGCAGTGTTATGTTGAAGTATGAAGTCTGTACCAAAGATTTCTTGTGAAGATAACAAGAAGAGATATAGTAAGTGATATGTTAAGTCCAAGATTGATGTGTTTATAGGTCAAAGAAGATTACATTTGTGATAAGACAGGAGAATGAAGAGTAATTATATAATTATATTACATCATGTACCTTTTGACTGGTAAAAATAATAAGCTTCAATTCTTCCAGAACCCCAGCTGTCTTAATTATGATTGATAATACAGAAATTCACAGGCTTAATAAGAGATTTATCTCCACAGGGATTCTTAAAATAAATTGTATCTACTGAAGAAAGTTCAAGAGATACATTTTGTATGAGGATCTGGTATTTAAGAGCCTTGGGTCTCAGTGTGCAAATTGTCTGAGTGAACAATTGAACACTCAGAAATGTAATAAAAGCATGTATAAGATTGGTTCCTATTTAGCTTTTATTTACAAATCTTACTCATTATATGCTTGAAGTCTCATTTGAGGGTTGATAAGACTGCATTCTAGACATTTTCTTGAAGCCCAGCTTTGTATATAGAATATTATATTGCATTGTTTCTAGCATTACCAGAGACAGAAATTTTGCAGATTTAAATCCAATGAATGGAGAGACTAAAAACAGTGCTTTTGGCAGTTTTCACTAAGTTGTAAATTTCTGTTCTTGTAGGAACAGAAAATTGAATCAAGATTTGCAACAGAAGTCTGTGAAGGTTAACACTATACCAATGTTAAACACAGATACACTAGGTGTGGTAACATAGTGTATATTGTATTTAATTTCCACATTCCAGCTGTTAACTGTACAGTAGAAGAGGAGTATGTTTTGATCTTATGAAATTACTTGTCAGAAATGGAAGACTGATATAAATAGAAAGAGTCATCCTTTAAGAATATTGAATTAGTTTAAAAGATTAGCACTTTGAAGTCTTGACATTCAACCAAATGATGTTTAAAGATTTTGTTGATACCTCACAGAAAATACAGTATGTCTCCTTCGCAAAGACCAGTTGGTTAGTTCTATTTAGGGAAATAATCACTGATTATTCTAAGAATCGTTAGGAACCCATAAATGCTTTCTGTGGTCAGTTATGGTTGAAGTGTAGAGTTAGGTAGTTAATTAGTTTGGTAGATGTTTAATTTTTTTTTTTTTGAAGGCGGGTAATGCATTTGGTACATGTTAAGGATTTGAGAGCCTGCTGAAAATTATTTGGCCAGTCCAGTAAAGAGGAACCCCTCATATCAACTCTTCTTGAATGCGCTCAGACCCACAGTGTAGTGAGCAAACCATATGCTAACAGATCATAAACAAACCCCACCTACATCACATCAGGTACCAGAAATTATGCCTGTTGTTATTCAATCATTCGTTGCACCTCTGTAAAATATTCACATTCGTTTGTTGAAGTTCTTTTTTGGAAAGAGAGCATACATGAAACTGTCCTGTGCACAGGATTTTTGATGGGAGTTTTCAGGCCTAGCACTGACTTCATGCAGCTTCTCTTCAGTGAGCAGTTGGTAACAGCCCTGTGTGAGTTCATTTACAGTTGTATGAATAGTTCCTCTGTTTGGAACTGTAACATCCTAAAATTAATGCTGTAATCATCTTATTCTTACTTTTCACGTGTATTGTGCATGAACACTTGTCTCACATGTCATTGTGACAGAAGAAGTAACATGACTGACTGGTGTTGAGTACAATGGCAGGAGCTTCAGATTATCAGCAGGCACATAATGCATGAACTTACTTTACAGTAGCCATTCAGAAATATGTTTTGGTGAATCTGAAGTTGAACTGTGACATATATAGCCTAGTAACCTGTTTACAGTGCCACGAGCCCAATCGTGTGTTGTTGAGTTGATGCGAGTGGCATTTGTCCCTCCTGCCAGACCAGCTGAATTAGTTATAGCAGTCTCTCAGATAAGCTTATAGTAGCCACTGTGGTTTAGTTGGATAACAGATGAAGTCTACAGTTTCTGCCTATAGGCTCTAATTTCAAATTGTATGTTGAAATTTGAGGATATTGCAGTGGTAACTGTGACACCTGTAGTCTTGTAGATAATGTACCAACATTCCGAAAGGAACTTCTCCCTCCATCTTGGTAGCAGGGTAGAACTCCAGTGTTTGTTGAATTTAATGTTCACCATCATATTCTGTGCTGTTTTATGATGCTGTCATTATCAAGGTTTTGTAACATTGATAATAGAATGCTTAAAGAATATGGAAGTATCTGAGGATAACCCAGTATGGGTTAACGCATTACATGCAACATGTTAAATACTGGGTAGTTGTGTTGATGAATTTGAATAGAATTTCTGTGAGGAATGGCTGGTGGAACGAAAACTGAAGTACTCAGAGGGAACCTGCCATAGTGCCACTTTGTCCCAAAAATCCCACATGGCCTGGCTGGGATCAAATCTCGACTGTCATGCTGGAAAGCCGGTGACTGACCTCTATCCTATAGATCTGTGGCTTCTTTCAGTGATGTGTTTTTAGTGTAAGACAGTTAACAGGACTTCACACAGGGCTGTTTGCTTGTGCTACAAGCAGAGTGTTTGGTCTGTAGTGCAAAGTAAATTTCAGTGCTATTGATATTCCCTTTCATTCTATTGCCTGCATTTGTTTGAAACAGCAAAAGAATGCTCAGTACAGAAGTCTTCACATGCAAGAAAAGATTATCATTGGAAGGATGGAAATGCCATTTGGTTCTATCTGATTGTACTCATGGGAATTGGTTTTATTTTGTTACAGTATGAATGCATGTAATATGTTTGAATTTCAGGAGATTCAACAAGTGGGCAGCGAGCTCTGTATGAGATTGGTATGACTGGAATGCCTGTATACAATGTTAACAACAATTGCTCAACTGGTTCAACAGCTCTTTTCATGGCTAAACAACTTCTAGAATCAGGAAATGCTGATTGTGTACTTGCACTGGGGTTTGAAAAAATGGAAAGGGGTTCTCTTGCTTCAAAGGTAAGTGTTTGGTAGGGAAGCTGAGAAGTACTTATTATTTAGTATGTTGTAATTACATTACTCAGTTACTTGTGCCTGATGTTTGTCTGTGTACTTATAGTTTCATGACCGAACAAATCCGATGGAAAAACATGTTGAAGTAATGGCTGAAATTGCTGGTATAAATAATAGTCCCATCACTGCACAAATGTTTGGAAATGCTGGGAAGGAGCATATGGAAAAATATGGAACAACACCAGAACATCTAGCAAAAATTGCATACAAAAATCACAAACATTCCATAAACAATCCGTAAGTGCTGCTGGTATTTTATTTTCAGTATTAGGACTACTGAGTCCTGTTACGGGTTTTTACAGAACAGAATACTTCTATCGTTTTAAAGGTTGTCCCAAACTTTCCTTCCCCTCTATATTTATTTGTCAATATTTTTTGGAATCCTGTCAGGGTCCCTCCCTCCCCATTGTTTTTGTATTGTTGTGTGTGGAATTTGTAGTTCTCTCATGAATTTATTTCTTTTAGTCCCAGAGGATGTACCCACAGTCCACGTTTCTGGTTAGATCAATTTTCTAACAGCAGTTCTTATTCTTCATGATTCACCAACTTAAGATAATATTGGTCTGGCAAGTGCTTGTACATTTAAGTACATTTAAGCTTTAAAAAATTGTTTCAGTTTGCTTCATTAATTGCATTTTACTACACAGAAAGTTATTTTCCATTTTTAATATAATAAGTATGATTGAGTTATAAATAAAATGCTTAGTTTTAACATTGAAAATACACTTCTGCATAATGAATCAGTCAAACTGAATAATATTTTTGTGTACACATGCTTAAGAATATTCTACACAGCTGTGAGTTCTATTCATATCTGAAGACCTGTTCATTTCTACCACCTCACAGAACTTTTTTGTGCCATCTTGTATATACGAAAGCTGTTGATATTCATGTAATGTCTCTATAAATTATTCGTTGATTATTTGGTAAATTTAGTGACACTGTATCAATTGTTCTGTCATTGTAGCATCAAATGAAATATGGGCAAATGATATTATCATGTATTAGGGGTTTGTGTGACTTATAAAACAGGTTTAGGATTTGATAATCAACTTCTATTGGGCCTTTATACAACTTGTTACATTTCGCAAATCACTGTCTTCGACTGAACACCCTTGACTTCTGACCATACTACACTAGTCCACAGAAAACATGTCTATTGCATAGCAGTGGATGTCCTCGATTGTCACGTATTGTACGCATTACCTAGCAACGTGCTCTTTACCAAGAATCTGTCTGCATGGGAAGGTGTTTATTGGGCCTTTGCCTAGCAGTGGATCTCTATGTCACTGTATGAATGATGAATCAACATGTATATGAGAAGCAGTTGTGGCTTACTTTAAAATACTATTTCAGCCTTAGTAAAGGCATCTCAATCTGATAGACTGCTTTATATTTAAGTGAATAGTGTTTCCATCCAGATTCTTCCATATACAGGTAACATTGTTTTAGTGGGGAGAACCGCAAGTGTGCTGAAAGAAGTAATTTACTAAAGCAGTGAAGGAACTGGGATGTACAATCAATCTTTGAGGGGGGCAGGGGACATAGAATGAATATTTATTGGACAGTCAATTTTACACTCACACAGTTATTCACAACTTATAATGTCTTTGGACGTTTCCTCTTCTACGCTCTCATACCACTATTCTTGGTGAAGTGTCTTCAGTTCTAGTCAGATGAGAACTCTTCTGTTCTCTTGCCGAATACCAACTCTACTCTTCTAAGGTCAAATACAGACTGAACTAGTCTCTTGTTGCAGTTGGACTCTCATAACTTGCACCTTGACTCAATAAGTAATACCATGTTGAAGGATTAACCTCGCCCACTGCTATGCGAAAGCTGCTTCCAACAATTCTTGTGTAACAGTGGAAGCTCCACTATTAGATTGCTAGCCGTTGTATAGCAGTGGATGCGTTGTGATTCCTAGCCGTCGTAGTGGGAATGTCGCCCGTTGCCTAGGAAATCATCTCTGATCTCCGCATCCATTCCGGATTTCTGGTGGCACGCCACAATATTTATAAGTGACAAACTCATCCTCTCATCACAGAGGATGTTTGACAAGGACTATGGCCATAAAAGTTCAATTTGCAGAGAGAGAGAGAGAGTGACTGACTCTGGCTGTGAGCCACAAGAGGCTTAGCATAAAGTAACTCTGACTCTGACTGAAGTTAATTAGTTGAGAGTCAGCAACTGAGGACCAGTTGTGACTTGTGAGATGGTAGCCAATCAGCAGTGACTGGTGAAGACCATGTAACAGACTGAGACAGCATGTGCTGCAGTGATTCATTATGTATGTAGAGTAGTGATACTATTAGATTTCCTGTAGTTACAAGTTGTGAGAGTCCAGTAAATTAAATTACCAATCCAAATCCCATGTCTGCTCACTAGCACCTGACAGTGTAAATACAACTTTACATGTTTTGGGCAGCATTAGCCGCCATCAGAAGGTTCTCCAGCACTACAGGGAAACTCTTTATACTATGTATATGTATGTATACTATGCATGTCTTTGTATAGGGATTTTTACAGTTAAAAATCAAAATTAAATTTATATACAGGGTCTGGCAAATCGACCTCCCGTATTTGGAGAGGGCGCTGTGTTAGTTGTGGTGGGGATACGGCGGCGGAGGGGTTATCGATCGATAGCGGTATAAGTGCCATTTGCAGTAGTCGCAATGGTGTGGCACGGTGAGCATCGTGCGTTTGTTGTGGAAGAGTATATTCGTAATGGTAAATCAGTGATTACTACTCAGCGAGCATTTCGCATTCGGTTCGAACTTGGCCGACATGATCCTGTTCTGGATAGAAAAACTATTCACGTTTGGGTATCAAACTTTAGAGCAACAGGTTCTGCACTGAAAAAGAAATCGCCTGGCCGACCTCGGACCGTAACAACGCTGGAAAATGTGGCGCATATGAGAGCGTCCATCCAGCAATCTCCAAAGCGTTCAGCACTTAAACATGCAGCTGCCCTGGGATTGTCTGATAGGAGTGTAAGAAGAATCCTGCACAGAAATCTACACATGCACCCATACAAAATGATGGTTACCCAAGAATTAAGTGAGAGAGATTTTGAAACTCGCAAAGCTGCGTGTGAGGACATTCTTCAGAACATTCCCTCTGGCGCTGTTTTGATTTCATCTGATGAGGCCCACTTCCACTTGTCAGGTACTGTAAATAAACAAAATTTCCGCTACTGGTCAGCAGAAAACCCTCAGGAACTTCTCCAACGACCACTTCACAGCCCTTGTGTGACAGTTTGGTGCACCATTGCTGAATTTGGTGTGTGGGATCCTTATTTTTTCGAGGAAAATGGGCTAACGGTAATGGTTACTTCGAATCGCTACTGTCACATGATCGAGACCTTCCTCCGACCTAAGGTAAACCAGTTTCTTGGGGACCATGAAGAGGGACAAGCCTGGTTCCAACAAGACGGAGCCACAGCTCACACTTCGTGGCGTTCTTTAGCAATTCTGAGAGAGTTGTTTCCTGGACGTCTTCTCTCTTTGCGAGGAGACATCGCCTGGCCCCCAAGGTCACCCGATTTATCACGTGATTTTTTTCTTTGGGGACACTTAAAGGCGCAAGTGTACAAACATCGCCCCACAACCCTGCAAGCACTTAAGGAGGCAATCACCCAGGCAGTGGCTGCCATTCCACCAGAAATGACACGAAGAAGTATGGACAACTTCCGGGAAAGGCTTCGTCAATGTGTGAACAATGGAGGACGCCATTTACCGGAAATAATTTTTAAACCAAGTAATGTAAAATAGCATCGTATTTGTTGTTCACAAATAAAAGTATTTTTTCTGTATCTTTCTTTGTTTGTTCGTAACTGCCTTTTGAAATACGGGAGGTCGATTTGCCGGAACCTGTACAACACTCATTGAACATGCACATGAGATTCCACAGACAAGCATATATAACACTCCACATACTAACAGTTGAAAAGGAAGTACCTTCAATTCTGTGTTCCAAACTAGATTTGTAACCATTTTCAACAGTGTTAATATATTACTTTTAATAATATTTTTGATGTAATTATATAATATCTAAATCTAATCAAAATTTTAATGGTAAAAATTCCTATGGAAATACCTATGTATGGTATACACGGAAAACATTTCCCTGTAATACTGTAGGACCTTCCGATGATGGCAAGTGCTGACTGAAACATTACGTGGTGCAATCCAAAAGTTCCCGAAATTTGAATTTTGCACGTGAATGGTTATGAGTACATTGAAATACCGCTAGGTGTCTCCCCACATGCCCTTCTTGAATCAGTGTAGCAAGCGGCATTGAGTTGAATGGTTGGGTTTATTTTGGGTGTATTTTCATTGTTGTGTTTCTGTGAGTTTGCGGTTTTGTGATGGCTGACCTGAGAGAGCAGCGTGTCTGTATAAAGTTTTGTTTTAAACTTGGGAAATCCGCTGCAGAAACGCACCAAATGTCGAAGCAAGCCTTTGGTGACAACAGTTCAGGCCAGACACAAACTTACGACTGGTATAAGTGATTCAGAAATGGCCGAACGTCGACTGATGATGACGATTGTTTGGGACGGCCATCAACTGGCACCACACCACAAAATGTCGCAAAAGTTAGGGATCTGATTCTGCAAGATCATAGACTGACCATCCAAGACCTCTGTAACACTGTCGGACTAAGTTATGATACATGCCAACGAATTTTGTCAGAGGAACTGAACATGAGGGGGGTTGCGGCGAGGTTTGTGCCATGACTGCTGCAAAATGAACAGAAGCAGCATCACTTGGAAGTCAGCAGGGAACTTCAACAACAGCTTCAAGAGGATCCAGACTTTCTTTCGAAGGTTGTCACTGGTGACAAAAGTTAGGTTTATGGCTACAACCCTGAAATTAAGCAGCACTCATCGCAATGGAAGAGCCCTTCTTCACCTCGGCCAAAAAAGCTCGACAAGAGCAACATTAAGTCCATGTTGATCTGTTTTTTTTTTATATTGACAGGATTGTTCATAAGGAGTTCGTCCCTCCTGCTCAGACAGTTAATAAAGAGTTCTGTCGTGATGTTCTAAGGCGTTTGAGGGAGGACATGAGAAAATGTCCAGAGAATTGGCGCACGAATGACTGGGTACTCCACCATGAAAACACACAAACGCATACGGCGTACGTTGTGCAGGAATTTTTGGCTAAAAACAAGATGGCAGTTGTTCCCCACCGACCGTACTATCCAGACTTAGCTCCATGTGACTTCTTTCTCTTCGGCAAGACGAAAATCAAGTTCGAGGGGTGAAGATTTGATACAGTTGATGAAATTCAAGTGGAAACGCAGGGTCGCGCCATAGCTCAAGCGGTTAGATTCTAGTTTCCCACCGCGGTGGCCCGCATTCGATCCCGGGTCTGGTCAAGTGGGATTTATGGTGGACAAAGTTGTGCTGGGGCAGGTTTTCTCTGAGTTCTTCGGTTTCCCCTGCCAATCTTTATTCCAACAATTGCTCCCCAATCACCCTCACCTATCATATGGGGCTGGTACAATAGGCCAGAAGTGGCCGCAGTACCAGGGACATAGTCCCACCCCACTAACAATAACAAAAAAGTGGAAACGCAGACGGTACTAAACACCCTAACAAAGAAAGACTTCCAGGATGCATTTCAAAAGTGGCAGAAACGCTGGGATCGGTGTATGCGCTCCCAAGCGGACTACTTTGAAGGTGATGGTGCAGAATAAGATCCAGGTAAGACGTAATAGTTTTTATTAATATATTTCGGGAACTTCTGGAGAGCACCACATATAAAGAAAGTAAAGCTATCCCTATAACAGGCCATGAAGGTCCATAGGGTTTTGAGGTGTCGAGTTTCCTAAATTTTCTCTAGACAGTCGCCTCACGGATGGCGGTAAGGTTGTCAGACTTACATGGCGGCTGCACCTTGCCCCCCCCCCAGGAAGATTCCTGTTACTCATTTCTGTTAGAGGCTGAGTCAAAACTGGGGCCATAGTGCAGCTGGATGGATTAGGTAAATTGAAAAAAAAAAACCACTTCGTCAGTACTTGAACCTGCAACCTTCCTGCTTGTAGCATAGTACCTCAACCAAGTACGCTACTGCAGGCCCTCTGGCAGAAATATGTAAAGGTATGTTTATATCTAAGTCATCAGTCTCTGGCCAGAATATATATAGCATAGATATATGCCATTGTGCCAACTTACTGGTCACGTGATAATGTGGATACTTTTCTTAGCTATTCACAGTTTCAAGAAGATTATAGTATGGAACAAATCTTGAACTCACCCTGCATATATGGTCCCTTGACAAAGCTCCAGTGCTGCCCTACCTCTGATGGATCTGCTGCAGCTATCTTGGCAACAGAAGATTTTGTTCATGCACATGGATTAGAGGGACAGGCTGTTGAGATTCTGGGAATGGAAATGGCCACAGATTTGCCATCTACGTTTAATGATCGCAGCTGTATGAAAATTGTAAGTATAAGGTGAAAATATTAGTTGAGGTTATAAAATGATGCTTCTTATATTGGCAGAATTCCATTGCACAAATATCATTATTGTTACAGTTTACATATTGAAATTCCAGTGACATATTTTGGCATGATGACGGTATAGTTTAAGAAGAGAAGCCATCCGCTACTAGGCAACAGTCGGTAAACCAAATGTGACAGTTGGTTTCTGTGGCAACAGATATACACACCAGAGACAAACTGTTTGAAACGGTGTTTTCTATTCGATCCACACTGAGGCTATATACCGAGCACAAACTAGACAGCATATTAGGATGCCCCTGTGTGGAGGCAGGGTTGAATACATCCACCATGACCCTGCGAGTTGTAAGAGGCGACGAAAAGGGAAGTGTCAAATCCGAGAGTAAAATATGGTCTCGAGTCCCAAGGGACTCAGACCCTAGAAAGACTGCACTGGCAAGGGCCAGCAGCACATAAAAAAGGCAGACCCATCGTCTCATCAGAGAGGGCGCCCCACAAAAACAAGACTGTAACTGTTAAAAGTAGTAAATATCTGGGGCTCGACACCAAGACTTACTGACGGACTGACTGACTGACCATCAGTCGCAGTGTGACTTGGACTTGGACAGCATATTAATTTAAGAATATGAGAGAGTTCTGGACATTTGGAGCAGTGGGTTAAGTGTGAGACATCCAATGGCTGGTAACAATGGGAGTAGAAGGGGGCATTGTTGGGATCCTAGGCAACCACTAGTGAAGACAAATTGAGAAGACTAATGAGTGTTGTAGTGAGAGGTCAAGTGCATGAATTAGTGAATGCAGTATAATTGGTTGTAGTTACGAGAACTGTAAGAGTTCAGTAAATCCAGATACCAATCCAAACCCCATGTCTAGTCACAAACACATGACAGTTTCTATAAATAAATCCATTGTAGTCAGACTTTCATTAGACTAAGTAATGATTTATTTTTGTCAACATATAACCACTTTCAAACACTTGTTATGAAAAACTTTCACGAATAAGAAAAGCTCTTAAAGTTGACAGATGTACAATATGAGCACAATATTCAAATTATTCACAGTATTCATGAAACCACAAAATGCAGTGTATAATCAGCCTTTTGTAACTAATGTCTGAAAGGATCATTTGTATTAACCATGTATTTATGTGGTACTTGGTGGAGCGAGCATATTGTACAAGTTTTATTATTACATTCTAAAGTGTTCTGATAATGCTGTATTAACACTTAGAATTACTGTCTTTCAACTTTGTCCATTGTCACATATTCCAAAACACTATGGAACACAATGTTTGGAAAATTGTATCTGTTTCCATCCTCACTGGGAGGGGGGGGGGCTACTGTGTGGGGTCCCTTAGAAGAGCTAACCTCAATCACTGGACAGCCCATGTCAGTATAACTACAGCTATGTAAATACCTGGGACCAGGCTCTGTCAGAGGAGGATAACAGGAAAATATACAATAACAATTTTGCATAGACCTGCAACTAAGATAAAAGGGAAGTGGAAATTGTATGCAACAAACCAATTCCATGAATAGGATTAAATGGTGAATTTGTGAAACCATTTTGTGCCTACTGCTAGAACCATCTGTGGAGTAAAAACTGAACATTCATGACTAATACCTTATAGAAATCCGTGAAGAATCTGTCACATCATACTAATCTTGTCTGTGAGTTCGTAACCTCATTGCTGATAAAGGGGATCCATATGGGAGAAATGTCCAAACTGGGTTGGGTGACTGGACTGGTTAAGCATGCCATGTGAGCCAATTCCATATATTTCCTATACTCACTGTTTCTTTCAATTTTCTAAATCCTAGCTTCATCTAATGTTATATCGATTCCCTATGTGGTTGAACTTCCCTGAAACATCCTTTACACATGGGATAAAGACATGACCTAGGGGCTTTCCCTTTTTGTTTTGACAAATGCTACCCTTTAAATTAATAACCAAGTCTGTGAAACCTTGGGGATAACTTGAGCTGAAGATCATGTCTCAGATTACCAATTTCATTAACCAGATCTTGTCATTCTTGGCATATGGTGAAAACTGTATTGTGATGACTGTGAATTAAACTTCACTTCATATGTGGCTGATGGTTAGGCTTGAAGTTGAGATATCGGTCAGTGTGGGTTGGTTTTCTGTAAAATATGTGGCCCCGACATTGATGATAAATTTGTGGTCTGACTTCATGGTCCAGAGCAGCTACAGAATTTCCTCAGCTACCTCAGTAGTTTAAAGCCTTCCATCCAGTTCTCTATGGAAATAGACCCAGGCAGGTAAATTCCTTTTCTGGATATTCTGGTCGAAAAAACTGCGCAGGGCACCAAATTTTACAGGAAATGCACCCACACTGGCTGATATCTCAACTTCAGATCTAACCCTCCACCACCTATGAAGAGAGGTTTAGTTCAAAGTTTTCACAATAGAGCTTCCACCATATGCTAAGATTGACAAGATCTGTTTATTGAAATTAGCAGCCTAAGATGTGATTTTCAGCTCAGCGTTTATCCACAAGGTTTCGTTGACTCGGATATTAATTCCAAGGTTAGCAGTCATCTGAATAAAGAGGAAAAGCCCCTGAGTCTGGTGTATATCCCGTATGCGGAGGATGTTTCAGAAAAGTTAAAGCATATAGGGAATCATAATAACATTAGGACAATCTTCAAAACTGAGCACACTCTTAGGAGTTCACGCATGAAAACCAAGCCATAAAGAGATTTGCAACAGGCAGCAGAGTGCATCTGTAGCACTCCCTGTGAATGTGGCAGAAGCTACATCAGCAAAAGAGACAGACCTCTAGCCGTGCGACTCTGTGAACAAAGGCACAGTCTCAAAAGGATGTCCTAGAAAAATCAAAGTGAGCCTAACATTCCTATGAAGAGGGTCATGTGGTAGGTTAAATTGGAAGTACCAGCAGGTATGGGGAATACAAGGAATTGACCTATGTGGCATGCTTAACCAATCTGATCAGCCACACCAGTTTGGACACTTCTCCCATATGGACCCCGTGTATCAGCAACAACGTTACCATCTCACAAAGAAGATCAGTATGATCTGACAGATTTGTCATGTGTGTTCAGTTTTTACTCCACAGATGGTGACACAAAATGGTTTCACACATTCCTCATTTAATCTCATTCATTGGTTTTCATGGACTTCGTTTGTTGCAAAAAAATTTTCACCTTCCTTTCTTTCCACGTTTCAGGTCTGTGCACAGTTTTTATTGCATATGTTCCCATGTTCTCCCTCTGACAAAGCCTGGTCTCAGGTATTCACATAGCTGTAGTTACACTGACATGGTTGTAACTGATTGCTGCTCCTAGTGATCAACTTGGCCTGATTCATGTATACGTTAAATAGAAGTCAACTTTAGTATTTTTATAAGGTTTGATTAATTTTTTTAATTTGTTAAATAGAATATGTCATTATGTATTATATGGGGCCATACGATATACATGCCGGTCACGGTAGCCTAGCGGTCTAAGGTGTGCACTGTCTTCGCTCGCTCGGAAGCTGGGATCGTGGGTTCGAATCCCACTCAGGGCATGGATGTTTGTGTGCGTTTTTCTGTGTTTGTCTACAGGTAGAGGCCTTGCGACGAGCTGATCACTCGCCCAAGGAGTCCTCCCGCATGTGTAAGATCTAGTAAACTGAAGTGAAACGGAGAGTTTCATGGAGGTAGGCCTAGGCCCAAATTGGGGTTGTAGCGCCACAGAGAGAAAAAAAAATAGGATATACATTAAGTAGAAGGTGATGCATTGTGGTGTGACTTCTCATACAGTTTTATAATTCTGGGGTTCCCATTTTGTTTGGGGACGTGTGATGTAAGCTTCACAAGTAGCTAAATCAGGGCTTCCCTGAGAACCCACAGCCAAGTTTTATAATGTTTCACCATTTTCAGCTTATCGAATGACCCCAAAATGGACGATGAATCATTGTATTCTGGCCAGGCTAATGACGTGCACTGTGTATCAGTTCTTGTGTGTGATGTGGTAAATTATATTGGGTCTGGATGAGAGAGAAGAGTGAAACTGTGCATGTCTGCATACATGACAAATGTAGTGATAATGAGGATGGTAAGAAAGTGATGACATTGCTAACTTCTGTTTGATTAATCATAGTTAGACTCACAGGTTGGTATTCATGTTGATTACAGGTTGGTTATGATATGACCAAGAAAGCTGCTGAGACATTGTTCAGAAAGTCTAACTACAAACCACAGGATGTGGACGTTGTTGAACTTCATGACTGCTTCTCAGCTAATGAACTTATCACATATGAAGCTCTTGGTTTGTGTGAACCTGGAAAAGCAGGAGAATTGATTGATTCTGGAAATAATACATATGGGGGCCAATATGTAATCAATCCAAGTGGAGGCCTCATATCCAAAGGACATCCTCTTGGTGCTACTGGTATGTAAACAAAGTTATAGCTCTTGGTGCTTCTTGTTGAAATGTTTTTCTTTTATCATTTTCCCATATTCACTCAATCCTGGGAATTACCTCCAATATTTTTGGCAGTCTTACGTGTGTTTTTTTTGGGGGGGGGGGGAGNCTGTATCAGAAACTCTCAGGTTGGAGTTAGCGAATACAGTGTTTATTAATAATAAAATTGCTCTGATACATTGCATAGCTCAAATAGGGGAAACTGCCTGTTGGCTGGACAGCCACTGTTAAATGCCCAAATATAAGAGGGATTTCCTCTTTCCCCCCCTCCTTACATTGTCTGCTGTATTCCACAAAATACAAAATTAGAAACTCTAGAACAGAGAGAAGCTAAAGGTATTAAAAATGACAAATTACTGAAATATTGATATCACAGATATTAAAAGCAGTAGATTAGAATGAATGAATAACTGTAACAGTGAAATATTCATGATGATACTGCAAATAGTATTGTTAATTGGTTTATTTAACAACCTACAAATCTCGGCTACAATTAATTATAACAATGTTGCGGGGTTTCACACTTTATAACCCTATTCGCACTATTCAATTCACTCTATTGTCAGTAGTCTACACGTTTCACAGTACGGGAGCTATATAAGTGTCACTGTATCGCACACTCCCAATTATTACCCTGTTATCACGAACTAGCACTGATTCTCACTCACGCATCAACTCGTAACTGCTGCCTTGAGAACTGTCTTTGGCCGCTGATACACTTTAACTCACTGCAACAACAAACTCGCCGATGGCCACAATTCAACTCCACTTTGTAGACAGTGTGGTTCACTTATATAGTCGCAGCGCTTGCCTGTTAACGCAATCAGTACTGCTATTGGCTGTTACCCATGTCGCAGCTGTGTTGCGTGTTGTCACCACGGAGGGGGGGGGGACAGCGCTGACTCATCTGCCGTGTCACTGCTGGGGGGGGGCTGTCCTCCATTGCGCAACATGTCACACTGCTCCCTCCTTAAGGCTGTTCATCCCGAATAGCCTAATGGTGCACCCCCGTTCCTTTGCTTTGGAGGCTGTTCTTGCAGCATCTGTTCTCCGGCCGTTACAACCGCTCTCCTCTTAAGACCAGCTCATCTCGAGCGGTTTCCTTTCAACTCGCCAGAAGGTCTAGTTGTATCTCATTCATTTGTCACTTTCATTCTTTCCTCTTTTACTCTTGCTAGGGAGGCCGGTGTTTCTACGTTACCGGCGCCTCCCCGATCCGTTGTTTCTTTTCCCGCTTTGGAGGGGTTCAACCCCTCCGTAAGGTCCATTCCTTGTTTTGTCATAGGCCGACAGAAAATCCGGCTATTCGCTTGGGGATCTGCAGTTTTGCAGTTTTCCTCAGGTCTGGTTTCTTCACATATCGTGGCTGTCCGCCACCTAGATCCTTCACTTCATTTCTGCGTTGTAGCTGCTGTCTCAGGCCTTTCCACAGTCTCTTCCCGAACGTCTGTTTCTTGGTGATTTTCGGTGTGACCTTATTCTTGTTTTGTCCCATACCCCTGTGTCCTACACAGCGTATAAATCTTTATTCCTGTGGCGGTCACTTATTTCCGCTGGTATCCAAAGGTTCCCAGGGGAGTTTCCTTCTTGAAGGCATTTCTCCAACGTCGTGCCACTGTCGCGCGATGGGATGTCTTCCTGCAGGGGGCAGCCAACTTCATCCGGGGTCCACAGTTTTCCCATGTCGAATTCTTCATATTTCGTCACTTGTTTCGGTTCTCCAACTGGCATAATTTTAAAGGATTTTAAAATTATAACTAAAGATTTTATAGTGCTACTACAGGAAAACCAAAATTGACGTGTGCAAAATAATCTACATACCAGACAGATATCAACGAGGTAGATGTTGATAATAACGAAGAAAGTAACAATGTGTTTTTAAATGTTAAATTTTAGACTGGGTTCAGTGTGGCAGTAACGTAAGAGTATACACCTGATGATGGCCGCTAGAGGCCGAAACATGTAGTGTAGAAGAGAGCAAGATCAAAGACATATAATATATATTGTTTGCACTTGGGATGGAGTTTGTATCATTTGTCGTGTAGAGTGCAACAGGATGCTTAAATATAATATTGTAAACATCCAACACTTTTTACGAATATTCACACTTAACACTTAAAAAAATTTAATATTGTCGTTTGCTTTTTCGCGGCATTTTCCTTTTTACAGATATCCATATGAATCCTATGTAATATTAGCTTGTCACTTAATAAACTGTTCTCTTTACTCTCAAGATAGTCTAGTAAGGATTCCAAATGAGTACTAGCAGCACTGTCCACCTCTTCCTCATTCTCACTTTCTTCCCACTCTTCTGGCTGCACCCCCACTGAACTTATGGTTTCGTCACTGCTTAACATTTTGAAGCCTGGCTCACATGAATCCCAGTTAAAC